TATATATATATAATATTAAATTAAAATAAATTAATATAACATTAAAATAATTTTAACAATCTTCATTCTAAAGTGCATTATTGTTGCTCCCATTATTAAACAATAAATACAGCAAAAATTTAATGTTAAACATAGTAAATTCACACATGAAAGTATGTTTTCTAGAATTAGGACATTAGAAGGTTGTCCTGTTAGTTTCTGTCTCATTTTTCTATAACACAGTTGTTGGAGTTACTGCTCTGCTACTTGTACTATAAAGATGTCTCACTACCAGATGGTGGTAACGAATGTTGTCCACTGTCTGTTCCCTCCAGCATAGCAATTCGTTGTTTTAACATTCTCATCTGAAATATCACCACCACAAAATTCCTTCACTAAGTACTAGTAAATGGTCTTAATTCCAATATTATAAGTATCAGAATTTGTTATTTGGGAATTATAAAATATCATAACTTCTTAGGGACACGACTGTTCTAACAAACCAGCCTCACAAATTGGTTGCAGAATATATTTGTCAGTAACAGACATACGAAAAATCCTCAACTTTTTGTCTTTTGGTCATTTTTTAGATAATGTGTTTTTAGAAAATGATGCTACAAAGTGCTTTATATGAGATAATTATTATACTAGACCAAGTTTGTTAATTCCATGTGTAAATTTTTGCCACTTAACACTAAGTTAAAACGTGTGCAACTAATAATAAATATAACATTAGGGTGTAGTAACAAAGGTATCTAAATGAAACTAGCTTACCAAAAAGTGAAAATTTTGTGAAAGGTAATTATCTGATTATAATATTATTGTTGCAAAAACAAGTTACAAAATAATACATCAGCCAAAATAAAGAACACAAAAACTCGCAATTAAAATTATAAAAGCATAAAAGGGCTTACTGGTCAGTAGATAAAGTGAAACAGTGTACTGTTCTGATTTTGATAAATAATAAAAAAATAAACCTTACTTTTTTCCATTTGAAAAAGATTATGCAAGAGCTAATATGTAAAAATAATGGTACCATGGTAAAATTATAAATGTATAGGGCAAGGGAGGTTAGGTTTGCATTTTCATAGTTATTAAGTACACCATTCATAAAATCAGTTGAAGAAAAGTGCACTTGAGATATTTCAATACATTTTAACAGGCCCCTCACGATCCAGTGGGGGAGATTTTTGTTGAAAAAAAAATAAATACCCAATCCAGTTTTTCTTAATGTGAACTGAAATGTTTTGGATATATTTATTGGCTAAAAAGAAGGCATTTCCTACATTCTTTTAGGACTGGGACTGGGAAAGTGATTTGGAGTGGTAAGGTGACTAAAATCCATCAGCACATCATGAATTTAACAGCCAACAACAAGAAACATGTCTCCAAATGACATGCAGAGGTATTCAGGAACTGTTTAGAACCACCTTGGTAGATTCGATGACGAGAAACCCACTTTGAGATTAATAATGGCTAGAGACGGCTTAAATGGGCAATGAAGAAAAACTTTAATATAAGTTTAACATAACAGAAAATGTACAACATTTCGACAAGGTTTTGTCATCATCAACATTTGCTGTTATGTTAAACTTATATTAAAGTTTTTCTTCATTGCCCATTTAAGCCTTCTCCAGCCATTATTCACCTTGGTAGATATTGTGCAGTCAAGCTGAGTACAATATTATGCCTGTAGCTGCTTTCAAAGTTTTCTTGTCTGCTCATCCTGCTGCTGAATATCGTGATGCCTCGACCTTCCCTACCAAATCGCGGGTGAAATCAGAAGCAGAAGCATAAAAGGTTGGCAATTGCTTAATTAATGATGTTAAGAATGTAGCTTTATTGATATATACTGAATTTAATACCAGCAGGTAGACCTTAATACTAGCTAGTATGGAGACTTGAGGATGATGTATTTCACTTAAAAATTTATCATTTAACAATGAGCAATAACAATTTCATAGTGAGTAGTTTATGTTTAATTTTGTACATATTGGAGGGGTGATGGATAAAATATATAAGAGAAGATGCATAGAAAAAAAATGTATCACGTATCCAAAACCACCCTCTTTGGAAGTTTTCGGGTTGAACTTACTTTTAATATTCAACAAATTGTAGTGTAAAGACATCCCTTGACTCTTGAGGGATGCATTAAAATTTTGTCTAATAAGTGGATCATTTGTTTTATGAAACTCACTACTAAAACACTCAGTATGTTTAAATGCTGCTTAGAACATCTTGAACTCAAAGAAAGTAAAGTGAATAAAATAAATAAGATAATAAGTATGACTATTAAACAAGTTTTCATACACAGATCAACTTAAAACATTCATTATGGCAACTTCTACTTACTTATAATTAATTAAGTTACTTTTAACAGCACTTACACAACCAAGGTTGAAGGTATAAATGTAGCTCCCTATTACAAACATTTGTTGGGAGCAGGCATGAAGCTTTTCTCAAATTCATAGCTCTCAAACCATTATAGTGGCTCAAGTTCACTGCTGAGATTTCTGTCATTTGAACACATGAGCTCATGTAATTCAGTAGTTCTCCTATGAATTTCAGTATGCTTCACTTACTTTGAATAAACTTTCATTCTGTATGGTAGTTAATATGTACATCTGTTTATCATAAATCTCCTGAGATACAATATATAACTAGTTTTCACTCTGACCATTGTAGAAATACACCAAATAGACATTTAACTCTTAAACTCCTTGGCATATCAATTTGATGTGCAAGCTGTTATATAGTTTGTTTTATTGGAAAAAACAAAACAAAAAACTTCTCGATGAAATAGTTTAAAACTTGAATTCTCTATAGATTATGTAGCTTCTGAAAAATCTTATTTTTCATATGTGATATTTATAGAAATTCACAGCCTTGAGATATCATGAAAAATTTCATTTTGATATGCTTAACCTATTTGTAGATTTAAATCACTGATTTTTATATCTTCCTACATTCTTATGACAATTTCTGATAGTTTTTATTTTATAAAACTGCAAGTTTTATCTTTTTTTTTAATTTGAAAAATTAAAACACTGTCTTTCACTGTTTCACTGTCTTTGTGATCATTAATTTACAATAAAAGTCAATTTTTTACCTACCACAATTATAAGCAAATCAACTATTTTACAGTTGTAAATGAGAAAATTTCATTTGATATATGCAATAAGTTTATAATTCATTTTATATGCACTTATATTTATTTTTCAATTTCTTTTAAGTGTTTTCACTTGCCCAATCAAGCATTACTTGAGCCAGTAAGCCCTAATATAAGCATGACTTACAGCAGCCTTGCTGGTAAAATGAAACTTGATATGTCGAGTGCAAAGTGATCTAACTAAGCCTAACAATTTTCTATCTCGTCCTTTTCCACAAAATATTTTTATTTTTCAATAATACTTAACCATTACAATTCAAATGAAGTGTAAAATAATAAAATAAGCTTTTCACACTTGTTAAAGAAAAAATTTGGAGTACGAGTTGTGGCAGAAGTTGTTCACAAACATCTTTTATAAACAACATACATCAAGTTAAGCTTTCATCACTTTATTATGATTTCTAAATGTGTACCCTCTGAACTGGAAGCCATATTGGCTTATACAGATAAAAATAACACCAAATGATCTATAATTACATACTTAGACCACTAATCTATAGCTCAAAATTGAGGATTGTTGATTACATCATATCATAGCAAATGAGGCTGGGAAACTGTGATTGGCTAAAATCAATAAAACTACATTTGCACTGAATCAAATTGGTGCTATTTTATTCAACACTATTTTGATTTTTCTCCTTGGAGACTATGATTATGATAAACAAAAAATCCCGGTAATTCACAAACACTAAGGTTTTTCATTTGGAAAATATTGAAATCAAACAAAAAACAAAATTTAACATTTTAAAAATGTTTTATATAAAAATTTAGATAAATAAAATTATTCACAATAAACACATTTAAACCCTGAAATATTTTCTTATAAAATGTGTGAAGAAACAACTTAAAGTTTATTTTTTATAAACTGATCAATTTATAGTGAAAGTTTGCCCTCAAGCAAGGAGTGCACACTCTGCTGGGGGCCAAAGATTTAATGTAGCAATGTACTTTTTTTTTTAAACTCTGATGACTTTTATGTAAACATGGCCATCTTCCGTGATAATCAGTTGAATCTCTTAATAGCAGCACTTGTCAAAAATCAAACTTATCCAACACACACTTCCTTACAATTATGAAATTGATGAAGTGGGAGAAAACCCATTATTTAAATTTATTCTTGTTTAGTTTTTTCCATACGTCTTTCATAGTTAATTCTATTGCTTCTTTCCTAATACACTTTCTATTATTTTCTGTTTTTAATTGACAGAATAATCATCTTATTAAATACATAAGGTATATATATATAAATTGCCATGTTTGAGAATATAGAATATCATTACAGGATTTTTAACTACCTGAGCATTATGCCTTTCTGACAGTACTGTCATCTGTTGTTCTAGCTTTTTAATCCGTGCTTGATTTTTCTTCTTTGCTTTTTCGAAAGCCATCACCAAGGCACTGCCACAAAAACAATGACTAAATAAAAACTTTAAGACTATCAAATACATTCTCAAAATTGTAAGTTATGCATTATGTTTACCATTATATACACAAATGATTTTCTTTCTGGCTTAATCAAGACTATCAAATACATTCTCAAAATTGTAAGTTATGCATTATGTTTACCATTATATACACAAATGATTTTCTTTCTGGCTTAATCAACCACGACACTAATATATTTCATAACACTAAGTTAGAAAATTCTTATCTATAACAATGATTTTGTCTAATCTGTTGATATATAATCAAAGCATTTTTTTATTTAACTATTACATTTATATATTTAATTTTAATAAACAATCTCTAACTTAACCAGGGCACATTTACTAAACCACTCTCAGCCAGTTAAATCTTGGATTTTGTTGTATTTCCTGCATATCTGTCAAAATGCAGCTTAGTTCATGTCAATTCAAAAGCTAACAAGGAAATAAGGTAAGCCTGAAGATTAAAACGGAGCAATAATTTACAAAAAACCAACAATAAGTTACAATTTATCCTTGTAATTAACTGTTTGATGTTGCTGTTGTTTTTGTAATTAGGCACAAAGCTACACAATGGGCTATCCGTGCTCTGCCCCCCACGGGTATCGAAACCCGGATTCTAGCGTTGTAAGTCCGCAGACATACTGCTGTGCTACTGTGGGGCTAACTGTTTGTAAAGATAATCTAAACAAATAAGTTCCTATACATTTACTTTTTTTTTAAGATAAAATAACATAAACAAGCTTCTGTAACATCCATATGTAAAACCTACAACAAATTTACAAATTACACAGGACATACTATACTTTACAATAACTTTGAAACTAATCTACAAATGTTTGGTTAAGTTTGATCTCTAAACATAAAATTCAAGTAAAATAATTAAAAACAGTTTTTTTATTGTGTGTTTCGTATTTCTACTGTGCATAATATTAGCTTTCAGTATTCAAGGTTTAATAGAAAATACTGACCTATTTGCTCTCTTCAGGTCATTGACAAACTCTACTGACTGCTGAACACGAAGTTCAGAGTTTTTTGTCACCTTTTCCATAGTACTCACAAGTTCTTGGATTCTAGTTTTTAGTTTCTTTTCTCTCTGAAGTGCCTCAGTCAATTCTTCAGATTCTTCTCGGCCTGACATTCCTCCTCCAGATTTCTAAGACATCAGTAATGTTTTCTGAGTTTCAAAAGTTGCTTGGTAATTCTATGTTTACTAGCTTTCAACTCAACTACAACCTATATGATTGTTTATATTTGTTATTCCCAATCAAGAGCAACCTAGAACCACAACTTAAATAATTGATGACATATTTTTAACTTCTGAACTTTGTGAAGCTTTCACCCTTAACAATATCAACTGTTTTAAATATCTAATATCTGATCCTTAAATTTTGTTGTTGTTAAGTCAATTGGGTATCTGTGCTGTGCCCTCCATGGGTAAAGCATTATAAGCCTTCAGACTTATAATCGGGGGGGGGGGGGGATGATCCTTAGAAAAACATGTTTCACTCTTGATTCTCAGACATATTGAATCAGCAATATATTAAACTTATATTTAAATTGAATACAGCAATACTTCAGTCATTGTCAGTATGTATCAATACTATAACTGTTTGAATACCTTAACCTCTGAACCTCACTTTCTTCTTCTAAAGCAACATCAGTAACTCCTAATTGTTTAAGTTATTAAACTTCTGATGTCTAGTGAAAACCAAAGTAGCTACATGTATAAAGTTATGTAAACAGTGTTAGCTCACAAAGCAGGAGTATGAAGTTAAGTGTAAATTAAAAAAAAAGAAATTCTATGTATTTTTTTATCCCTACATAATTTCTAAACCCATAATTAAAACAATTAATGCAAATCAATTACATCGGTAAACACTGTCTCACAGTATACATTACCCTTTGAAATATATCACCTCAAGATAGAGAAAATTAATTTAATACTGCTCAATAGCCATGATACAGCTGCATTCATCAGTTATTCTGAGCATTGTAAGGTTGGATGTAGCAACTGGCCTACAACTGGTACTTAGTAAGTCTGAAGCTCAATGTACCTATACATCAGATGGAGCATTACTGAAATTCAGTAGTATTCTTGATTTTCAATGTCACATATTATTTGATCTTCATGCATATTAACCTCATTAACACTAATAATTCTGCGACTGTTTCAGCTAATTACTTTCTTATCAATTTGGTACTGAAATGAAACTAAGTAATGGGATAGGTATGCTCAATAACAGGAGGTCCATTAATATATTTATTACAAAGTAGTATTGAAACATTGAGTAACTGAGTTTGACAAAGAAAGATATTGTACATAATGTAATAATACAAGTGAACAATCTTTATTAATTCATAAACACAAATGTAATGTGTGTTGTTGCTTTACAGACATGGGATAGTCTCTTCTACTGCATCAGGTATTTTCCTTTTAAGACTGGTTACATCAAGATCATCTACCAGTCTGTAAAAATTCTACATTTGTTAGATCACAGGTAATATTAGATTACCCAGAACAATTAGCTCTATATATGTGACTAATCATTCTTGCTCAGACATAAGGGAGGCCACAGCCTTGGGATACCACCTGAATTCCCATTGAAGGACAACATTGTCTACATTCCTGCACAACATGCATCATTATAGCCCAACTACTCATGGGCAGAACAACTGTAACCACAAAAGAACGACAAGGAACAAATTCAGCTAGAAATATATAAACTTAATGACTTTCTTGACAATGTGAAAACTACACATACTCATCATAAGCAATAAATTCAGAATAATACTATATTAATATATGAAGGTAAAAATACATGGTGCATACATATAACACATCATCAGTAAAACTGAACTCACTTGAAATGATCAACTCTGAACTTTCAATACCAGGTAACCATTTAGCTGGTCTAAATATCTAGTCTACTAACCTGAGCTTCTCTCAGCTTCTCAACAATCTGTTCCTGTTCTTTAAGTTCAGTTCTCAGATGTTCAATATGTACAAGATAAGCCTGCTCCTGAGCTTCTTGACTTGAAAGCCTCAACTCAAGTGATCCTTTTTCTTTTTCTAGTAGGTAGACCTGGGCCTTAAGTTCTGCCTTTTCTTCCTATTAGTTATCATATATATTTAAGCCTAAAGCTGTTGTAACAGGAAGATGAAATACAACTGATGATCAAATAAATAATATCCTTCATTACTGCAATTCTTTAAAATCAATTAATTACATATACATACTAATAACTCATTAGAACCTAAATACAACAAATAAAAATAAACATGTTCTATTCATAGAATTATGCAACATTTAGTAATGTTTCTAGCTGCAGCTTAGTGGCTCATAGAATGGCTCTGAGGTTTTTTGTTTTTCCAAGTACAAACTTTTAGCTCATAGCTTCATCATTTTTTAACCGATTTGAGATCTAATTACAGTTTTGGACTCAGGAGGTCAAATCCTTTTGTAGAAACTTTTAGCTCATAGCTTCATCATTTTTTAACCGATTTGAGATCTAATTACAGTTTTGGACTCAGGAGGTCAGATCCTTTCAATTGATGTATTTGATCATGCCCAAAGTCTCAGACTAATTTACTCTAATCCTGCCAAAAATAATTTCAATTTGAAGGTAAGCTGGTATAGATCCTGATGAGTAATAAAATTGAAATGGGTATGCATACACCTCACACTTGGTTTTGCTGGAACAAACTATAGCTCAGTCAAAGATTATTAAATTTCTACGAAACTTGGTGGACACGTGTAGAATATCATTCCTCATTATCCTGCCAAAAATTCTCCGTGTCCCTTGATAACAATGGACATTTGGACACATTTTCATATTTTTTGACAGCCAAATATCATCAATGCTGCATGGAAGAGATATGCGCTCTACTGAGTGCCCCTCTAGTTCTCCACTGCTATGAAGCCATTTTGCTGAACACCAAAACTCATTAGGTCAATTGGTATTTGATATAGTTTTAATTGAAAAAACAGTAAGTTGATTAAGAAATAACAAGTTAATTGTAATATCAAAGCTGACAAATAATGACTCTTTTCATGGAAATAGGTGAATAAGGTATCACACCTGTTACCCTAAAAATGATCAAGTTTTGTCATGTTAGAAGGCATGAAGTTTTGTAAATAGCAGTCACATTTTTTTTAACTAACGCTTTGTGTTTTGTAACACAGATGACCTAATCAACTCTGGTATTGAGCAAATGAACTCAAACATATAACAAACAAGTTCTTGTTCAATTATTCCTAGGCACTATACTTATATCAGGTAAAAATGACATGATTAAAAGTATCAATCTTTTTGCATTATCTTATAATTTGAAACCCTAGGTGTGCTATTACAATTAGTTATCAAGTAATAATCAAAAAATTAAGCAATTTTAGCAAATGAGGCATTTCACATGAATACAGACAAAATTTTATCAAAACTTAACCAGTCAGGTGACCTAAAACCATCTGTTTATAACACTAAATATGTTTCATATATTTGTTTTAAGGAAAGTAACAGGGTTATGAAATTAAGTAAGTGGAAAAATGAGCTCTAAAGAAAATACAACGAAATTATCCAGTGTTGAAGCATTTCTATAGAATGTTATAAATAGCTGACATAAAATAAACAGCTGCACAGAGATGTACTAAAACACTAATAAATAGAGATAATTAATTATGACTCAAGATATAGCTAGTATTATGATGCTAAAATATCACAAACACTCACAATTTAATTTAGATACTGTTTGGGTAATTCTTCCATTCATGTATATGTCCCAATTTCCTTGTATTCAAAGTAACAGTACAATAACATTTCCTGTACTATTTTTCTTTTAAAAAGAATAATGCACCACAAATTTGATGATGAGAAACCCACTTTTTATAAAATGAGGTTTTAAGATAGCTGGAATGGGTAATGAAGGAAACTTTGTTACAAATGTACAACGTTTTGATAATCTTACATCACCATCAGATACAAACTGTAAATTTGTAATAAAGTTTCTTTCACTACCAATTCAAACTGTCTCCAAACTTTATTATACTCTGAAATCTGTTACTGCTGTTTGAAAGGCAGAGTTAGCAGATGGTATTCGCTTGGCAAGTTATTAACTTTCATCAACTTTCAAGCACAACTTTTAAAAGTTAACTCTCTGTTGTTTGTGATGCTTGTTTTTATCTTGTGTAAGGGTGATGAATCAGATGTTGAATGACCTGGTAATAAGTTTAATATGAGAGGAACCTTCTTTCATGAACTCTGAACATTAGTTTAAAGTATTTTCCAGCCTTATGCAAGTTCAGTTATTTCATTTTAGTCCTTTGAGGTTTGGGGAACCAATATTATACCCTGAACTGTATTTATTACCACTGAATTATGAAATTGTCTGGAAAACAATAATAAAAGTTATACCTTGATTGCCATGAGTTCTTGCATCAAAACAGCATTTTCCAAATCCAGCTTTTGTGAATCCAATGACATTGAAGGCTCACGACAACTAGAGTCAATATGAACACTTTCCAGTTCCACAACAGTTGTCTTCACTGCTACCCGCTCAGTCCTCATCTGGTGAATGTAATCCCGCAGTCGTTGTTCATCAACTTTTGTAAACTCTCCATCGTTGCTACTGGATGTTGAGCTCATGCTAATAAACATAGGTAAAATTCCAAAGTAACTTTCTTTTAACCTTCTGGATACAGGTGGGTCAAAGTACACGTCATTTAATTAAACTACTTTATTATCAATGTATGTCAATAAGTTTGGCATGATAATGTATAGTTCAAATTTTTACATGATCTAAGATTTAATGTCTTAATTTCAAAAAAAAATATTTATACAAATCCTCAGTCTTAAACTGTGTTATATGATGTATCTGACTCTGATTTCCCCATTTTAGTTTTTTTTTATATACCCTTATATGTATTTCACACCATCTAATAAGTTACACATATACACACACACACACTATAGGTATTGCCAACCCAGCATATAAAATTTGAACGTCCATATCTTTGTGCTTTACTACAATATTTCTGTCACACCTACATAACGTACTCTCTTATTTCTCTCTCTGCCTTTCAAGCCATGTCTACAATTCTCATTTACTAAATAAAAAAAATTCACGTAACCAGCTCCAGCTAATTGCATTATATGATTGTAACCTGACCAACTGTTTACATTAAGTTCTCCAATTGTGATTAATAAACTGTCATACCATTAGATAGGGGCTAACGGGCATTGTAAAGTAACAGATTCAAAAGTATGCAGATGAGATAGGTTTAAAAAACTGAGGCTGTTTTAGAATGATCATCTGTTATGACCTGCAATCATTCTAGATAAAAAAATATTAATTTTATTTAATAATTTTCAAAATTTTGTTTCTCTGTCTTTGCTACAATTTTGTTAGTGTAAAAAAAAAGGAGATAAAGTAGAACTAAAAGATGAAGCAAAAAATTTTACTGAAAAAACATTTGTGTAGAAAATTTTAGGGGTTATGCAAATGAATTATGAAAATTGTAGGATGAAAAGTATTTTTATGCTTAACATTAAAATCAACTTTCACTCAAACTGACTCAGTAAAGGCTTCCTAAATTCAGACAAATCTTCAGCAAAAGTATATTACTTTATTAAAAAAATCAGATTTTTTGTGTACAACAGGCTGTAATATTTACTAAAAGCTTACCAACTTTCATCAAGATATACTTAGTACAGTCTGAGTTATAGTATGTATAATTTTATGGTTATATAGGGGTTATAAGGTCAGCCAAAATGATTGAGCTCATACACAGAATGTGAAGAGGCAAACTTTGACTAATATTACTTGAATTTAATCTGTTCCTTAAGTACATACTAAATTATTTTACCAATTAGATTGTACAAATATACATCATTATCTGTTCATGAATAACTTATGTCTCTAATGTGTATTCCTACATGGTGCTATGACCACACCAGTAGGGTGATTATGAGAGTATTTGTGTATTTCTCACTGACATTGTTTGTGCAATTTGTACTCGTGTTTCCTGATGGTGCGGAGAATTGTTATTCTGCAAATGTTTTACCTAGTAGTACGAATTCAGCCAAAAATGACTTCCCATGGTTATCTTGCCTGTCAGCGTGTTTACGACAAGAAACTTCTTCATACGGGGTTTTTTCCTCTGTATGCTTAAGACAGATTTCTTTCCTTAAATTTCTAAGTACCAGTGTGACTATGAAAAAAAAACTTATTCTATTATTCTACAGGTTTCTTACATGACAGCATGAATGAGAGAGAGAAAACATTTGTCTTTAGATTTCCACCAGCTGACTAGCAATGTAAGAAACCCACAGAAAGAAGTTACCTTCTATATTTAACTCGTATTACCAAGTAAGAAACCCACAGAAAGAAGTTTCCTTCCATATTCAACTCATATTACCACATAAGAAACCCACAGAAAGAAGTTTCCTTCCATATTCAACTCATATTACCACATAAGAAACCCACAGAAAGAAGTGTCCTTCCATATTCAACTTGTATTACCACATAAGAAACCCACAGAAAGAAGTTTCCTACCATAAACAACTCGTATTACCACGTAAGAAACCCACAGAAAGAAGTTTCTTCTTATATTCAAACTTACATTTTCTGTTATAGTAACTCTGTTAGATAAGAATACTATAGAATGAAATGTCATTGTCCAACTATTGTGTACAAAACCCATCGAAAGAATACATTTTCATATTCACACTACTTGTTATTTCAAAGAAATAAATTTCATTCCGTAAGAAACCCACAGAAAGAAGTTTACTTCCATATTCAACTCATATTACCACTATTACCACATAAGAAACCCACAGAAAGAAGTTTCCTTCCATATTCAACTCATATTACCACTGAGTTGAATATGGAAGGAAACTTCTTTCTGTGTGTTTCTTATGTGGTAATATGAGTTGAATATGGAAGTAAACTTCTTTCTGTGGGTTTCTTATGTGGTAATACGAGTTGAATATGGAAGGAAACTTCTTTCTGTGGGTTTCTTAGGTGGTAATACGAGTTGAATATGGAAGGAAACTTCTTTCTGTGGGTTTCTTATTTGGTAATATAAGTTGAATATGGAAGGAAACTTCTTTCTGTGGATTTTTTACATGGTAATTTGAGTTGAATATGAAGGAAATTTCTGTATTTGGGTGTCTTACTGAGTAACGCCAGTTGAATATACGAGGAAAACTTTTTATATTGGTCTCTTCCCTAATAATAAGTGTGGCTCTTACCTAGTAATGTGAGTTGAACATGAGAATAAACTTCTTTGTACTGAACCCTTACCTAATAATATGAGATGAATAAGCAGAGGAACTTCTTTATAGTGGGTTCTGCCTAGCAATGGGAGGGGTCTCTTACCTATTAATGTGAGTTGAATATCAAATGAAACTTCCTGACTCCTACCTATCCTAGAATTTGTAAGGAATAGGATTTAGTTCCAAAACATAAACTCATGACAACAATGATTCTTTGATTCAAACCACAATTCACAACTTAGCATTGGCTTTAAATGTCAAGCTGAGGTTTAAAACCCCTCAAGTCATTAGATTTCATTATTTTTCTCCTTTCCTTCAATAAATCTTGGTAAGCAGTAATTTGGCTTGAAAGCTATCTGTCCTTTTAAGTGAGGTTAGGTCTTCACATGGTCTCGAAGCATAACATACCCACATGTTCCATATTCAATTTTATGTGCACAGAGAGAGCAAATTGCTTTCCCAGGAAGACAACATTTCAAGTATGCTCAGAAAGAACTGTTCATACTTCATCTTTTGCAGTGTTCATTGTCACGCCTTTTGTAACCATTTCCCAATGAAATTTATTTTTCACTGATACATCAATGTTCTTGGTCACTGAATCTGAACATTCTTAAACAGCCATTCTGATTACTCTTTCCAGCTAAACTTGACATTATAATTTTTAGGTACATATTTTTAGGATATTAGGAAATATTTTATTAATTCACCATTTTATATTCCTCCGAGCGTTTTTAAGACATATGGCATTGTACAAGATTAAAACAAGAAAATCCATGGAAAAGCCACATGTCTCACATAAAGTGAATGTGAAAGAAATATTCTTTCTATGAGTATCTTACCTAATAACAAAGAAAAAAAGTTCTTTATGAGTATCTTACCTAATAACAAGAAAAAACGTTCTTTCTATGAGTATCTTACCTAATAACAAGAAAAACGTTCTTTCTATGAGTATCTTACCTATTAGTGAGGAAACTTCTCTCTATGAGTCTATTACCTAGTAGTATGACTAGGAGGGGAACTTCTCTTTACGAGTCTCTTATCTAGTAGTATGACTGAGAAGGAACTTTTCATTATGGGTCTCTTACCTAGCAGTATGACTAGGAGAAGAAACTTTTCTTTATGGGTCTCTTACTTAGTAGTTTGAGGAAACTTTTATCTACGGGTCTCTTACCTAGCAGTATGACTATGAGTGGAAACTTCATCCCATGGGTTAAAGTTGCAACCAGTTGCAGAGCAGGTAATACTATAATTTCTATTCATCTTCTGGATAAAATTCCGTGCTACACTTTCTGCTGACCTTCGATTATCATTGGCTCTTTTAAGAAGTGTTGTAACTTCATTTTCATCATTATCCCCTGAGCCTTTTGCTAATATGATAGAAATTTCTAGATTAGTTGCAGTGTTTAAAGTCAAGGTAAAGTCAGGACTAATCATACAATTATCTTTTTATTTACTTTTTCTTCTACACAAACACTAACACTTGAACTTACCTAAATAAAACTAAATGACCGAAGACAAATTATACAGCAATCGCAATATACTACATAATTAATTATAGACTACAGACTTGGAAGGTTCTTTTTGTTTCAAATAAATCTCAATAAACAATTGAATAAAAAAAAGTTATTTTTTGTCTATAGCAATAATTATACCTAATAATATAGAAAAAAAACTGTTAAGACCATTTCACAAATAACCGTGCATCGTCCACAAACATTTAGAAATATATATATATACAATTGCCAAATTCATTTTTAAAACAAACAAAGTAACATTTCAAAATACACAGAAGCCATGTGGTAAAGTCTTCCTTAACACCACAAACATGGAGTTTATCAATGGAAAATACAGGAATTGTACTGATAGTTATTTTCTTTTTCATATTTTTATACTAATTATTTAAGTAGAAACATTTCTAACATCCTACATCATGAAAGTTTTTCTTCCTTTTTAGTTGTCAGTAATAAAAAATATTTCTTTGGCACAGATAATATGAAACTGACAGCAATATTTGGCAAGAAATAAAAAAAACATTTAACTTGGACTTTGCTGTGATATTATGGTTTACAATTTCTTTTCAAATATATTTTTAACTTTCTTGCAGTGCCATATTATGCAAGCATGTGTTAAATAATATTTTAACAGGAATATTTTCCTGCTTCTATTGATGCTCAAGAATTCTAAGTTTGTTGCATATGTAGGTCACATCTTTCATCATTAATACTTTTTTAGAAGCTTTTTGACCTTTCATGTACTGGTTTTGTTTATATACAAAAAAAGAAAACTTACATTTTGATATTTTATTTAATACTTTTAGTGCCATATAAAATCTTGCTTTATATAATGAATAACCTTTATATGAACATGTATTTTTCATATTAATATATCTGCATTCCTAAAAAGACCAAAGAACATTATGAGACACTAAAATACATCGTGCACTAGTCAAAGAGTTAATTTGTTGTTTGTTTCAAATATGTACATAAGTACATATCAAATTAAAAACAGGCTTAAGCATTTTTACAAATTTCTTCTAAGACACTTATTATTTATTTGTTTTTCTAAAATACAATTTTGGCTTAGAGATTTAGGAAAAACCATGCATCAACTCAAATCACAGAAGGTTAACTTTAAGAACTTTATACACTATTTATCTGTATGTTTTAATCAGATATTTCCTCATAAATATAGACTGGTTGAACTTTGAAAAGTTTGTACACTTTTGAAAACTTCAGAAGCAATGAACAGCTACTTAACAGATTATCATTTTCATCACTATTATATGTCACAAGTAAATTTTACTACACAAAACTCATTCAGTTACAGTGGTTACGATCACATAGGTATACTGGAATTAATACTCTTAAACTTATTTTTTCACATGCTTTCCTGGCAAGTCATTCATACAGGATATAGTGGTACCTGATGCATTAATAAACTTTTATTATTATAACATAACAATGTTTTGGGACAGCATGGGACCTATTGGTCAATCTCGGCTGTTCCATCCTCAAAACTAAATTAAGATAATTTTTATAAAAATCTTAAAGCCAAACCTTATCATTCATATACTTGTCAGGCTTTTTCTTAAATTTACTGCCTCTACAACATCTGAAGGCAACCATTCCAAAGTCCAATCACCCTGTTAGAAAAATGAAACTGTCTAAGCTGAAGATGATTCCTACCTTGCCAAAATTTATAATTGTGCCCCCTAGTCCTACTATTCTCACTGTTAAATATGAAAAAGATGATGCATCAACACTATCAATTCCATTTACAATCTCAAAAACCTCAATCAGATCCCCCCTAACTCTTTTCTTTTTTAATAAAAAACAATTTCAGAGATTTCAGCCTCTCCTCGTATGACAACCCCCTCCATCCCAGGCACCATTCTAGTAACCCTTCTCTGAACCATTTTCAACAATTAAATGTCTATCCTAAGGTAAGGAGCCCAAGACTGAACACAATATTCCAAATGTGGCCTAACCAGTGACCTGTACAATGAAATTATAACCTCTTTAGACTTATATTCAATATTTTGGTAGATACAACCTAAAATCCTATTTGCCCTACCACTAGCAACAGTACACTATTGGATGGTTTTAGAGACTGATCGACTATTACACCAAGATCCCTTTCCTTCACAACACTATTAAGGTTATTACCATCCAAATTATACTTATAATTCAATATATGATTCCCCACATACATTATCTTGCATTTATTATAATTAAAACCTATCTGCCATATATTTGACCAACTCACCATATGATCTAAATCCTTTTGTAAATCAGAAGCATCCTCTTCACAGCAAGCAACACCCAAGACCTTAATATAATCTGCAAATTTAGGTAATTTATTGACTATTCCTTCATTTATGTCATTGATGTGAATCAAAAAGAGCAAAGGTCCTAAGACTGAGCCCTCAGGTACTCCACTTGTGACATTAAACCAGTTTGATTGAATTCCATTTGTAACAACCCTCTGCTTTCTTTCATCCAGCCACTCTTCTATCCAATTTGTTAACTTATCCCCCAACACTTATAGAGATAATTTTTATTACAAGCCTTTTATGTGGCACCTTGTCAAATGCTTTCTGAAAATCTAGATACATTAAATCTACACCCTTACCCTCATCTACATAAGCAATAACTTTTCAAAGAATGTCAAAAGATTTGTAAGGCAAGATTTTCCTTTAGT